GAGCACGGCGCACACCGCCGCGGGCATCCTCAACGCGCTCGAGCTGGACGCCATGAGAGGAGCGATCGAGGAGCTAGCTAGATTCGTAGTACGTGGTGAAATGCTAGGCGCTCTAGACTGTGGCGGTGGTGGTGACTAGTGAGTTGGGTACATAGCTGCACGACGCCGAGGTGATTTATAGGGGCCTGCCCGTGCTAGCGGTTTTCCGTTACGAGGGACCAAGCATTGCGATGGTGGAGGTCGCCTGTGTCGCACTCGCCCTGACTGCGACGAACGAACGAACGAACGACGAGGGCGGTGACCTCATATCATATCCTCATCACCGAATAAAACGGGCCAACTTTCTGCTCATCGCCGGCCTGTGTGCGGCGCCGGCCGGTGCTGGTGGTCCAGACCTATGCCATGTCGCAAATACAAATTGCCATGTTGGACGCAGAAAGAGACCTTTATCTGCTGGCCCCTCCAGATCGGTTCTTCTTCATTCATCAGGGCAGGAATCTCGCATGCATGCACCATGTGTTCGGTGCTGAAGTGACTGATTTGTTCGTTGGACCGAACCATCGTTATCAAGGTCCATTCGGTGTTTGTACGAGTTGAAAACCGTTGTAGTATGACATGTTGGCATGACAGCCAAATCCGTGGGACATGGTATCTTTGATCCGGATCACCCCGCGCGAATCAGCGGCCGCCGTGATCTTCATCCCGATGCATATCTCTCACCGCTTCATAAGTGGAGTAGCATTTCCTCGTTTGTCACCACATGAACTTTGTCCCTACTCCACACTACGCACGCACGCACCATTAACGTACTTGTCAAGGAGGTTGTGTCCGCGTACGCACCCATTTATAACTCCATCGGCCTTACCAAATTGAGTCGAGATCGCTCGAGTCATCGAGCTAGGCGGGAGGAGCACCGTTTCTTTAAGAGTTTCCCATTGCTAAAAGAAGTAGGCTACTCCTAAAGGGGAGTAACCACCCTAGGACGTCTATACTATGCGTACCGGCAGCTCGTTGGCCACCCGTGCATGAGTGCAGCACAGTGCATGCAAATACCCTTGGTTCCATCGCCTAGGTCAGCTACCTATAGGGCTCTCCGTGTCACTTTCGGCCTGCCGGCTAATTGTATATATAAGCTGGGCGGAGCAATGGGCGCGAGGGAGGTATATGGCTCCAATGGCGGCCATGCAGGTTATAAACTACGGTTAGGAGAGCCCATCCACGGAATGCACTCTGGCGGCCATGGGCGTGCGTGCGTGCATGCACGAAGGTGGCCGGGCATTGGAAGCTTTCCGCCCATGGGCCATGCGACTCTCGGGAGGGCAGAGAGGACGGATGCGGCAACCAGGGGGCAGCCATGTATGGGCATACATGCAAGGTGGCGCCCTTTGCCTGCTAATATGTTGTTGTAGGTTGGATGGTACGATTTGGCGATGTTGTCGTGAGACATGTCCTACTTGGATGACTTTGATTTTATTTTTCCTTTGTAGACTGATTTGTCCAGCAGTATGAACATTAATAATAGGACTGTTATATCTTTCAAACGTTCTGATTATAGAAATAGATCTGAACAATTGTTCCAGATTGCTAATCTCATCTGCGCGTTGCATGCGCATCTCTCCTGCCAAATAAAAGCAAACTTCTCTGCTAGTTTGCATGCATATGAGGGTTAGAAAGCTCCTAATTAGATGCATGCATGAAAAAAACAAGACTAATGATGTCATCACATACTTTTCGAAAAATGAGGATTCAAAATGTTTTGTAGCTTAAACCGTCAGCCGATTGAAAATTTGTCTTTACATAAAAGATTTGTCGCAACGAGACCTTCGAAACTAGATCCCATGTTGGTATGTTTCGACGAATTTCTTTTTCAAGTCAAAAGTAATCACATCTGGACTACATAAGTTATCATGACTGCAGTACATAATTTACCGTGATGTTTACATTGAAGTTACCAGGTGTATGTTTCGACTAATTTTTTCTAGGTAAAAAATTACCATGACATTTGTAGGTTAATTATCAGGTCTGCAGTACCCCCTTCTAGCATCGGTGTCTTGCCTCGGCCGCAAGATGAGGTCCACGTGCGGACACGTTAAAGTCTGCTTATAAACAAAACTTTGTGGCTCGTGTCGGACTAGTCCCTTTAGGTGCCGAGCTGAGTCGATACCAGACCGTCTCGTTGGCCACCTATGATCAGGTCTGTGTTGCGTAATATCATGCTATTTATGTAGAAGTTATCAAGGGTATGTTTTTCAACAACTTCTTTCCCACGGGTCAAAGTTACTGTGGTGTTTATACGTAAGTTATCAGGTAACCAATTGAATATTACCATATCATCA